GGAATTAATCGAGTCGGACGTCAAATATTTATTTCTCCTGCCAAAACACAACATGGACAATCGACAAAGAAAGGTCATAACTGAGTCTGAAGTCTTTTTTTCACCCCTCTTGAAAGTAAGAAACTGTTCTGAAGACACTTCTGAGTAACATTATTCTCCTTCGCTGCCGCTTTCCAAAATGTCACCTTTTATTTTTGTCAGTGTGTGAGACAGCACCAGCAACAGCCCACCTGTTTCAACTCAAAGAGACAACAAGATTAAAAGTCAGACACCCTGCAAATTATTCAACGTCTTAAAACCAGGGGGGAAAGAAAAAACATCACAAAACCCAACTAGCAAGCCAAAGTGCTGCAATCATAGTCTCTCTCACTCTGTCATCTGTTCCCACACAGGAGACTCGCTGAACTGCAAAGACAAACACACTTAGTTTGTCTCTCAGTCAGAGCCAAACATTGTGCTTTGTTTCCCTAAGGTGAGACATGTCACATGGAGCTTATGCTCATAACAAGGAAAAACAACAAACCAGAGAGCAGAACCAAAAAAAAAACAAAAAACAAACAAACAAAAAAAAAGCACTTGATTTGCCTGCTGCAATGAAAAAATGAGCAGCTATTTTTTCATTGCAGTACAGACAACCTTCATGGCAACACATACTGTTCCTTGGTACAGCAACCACTGGTGAGTAAATGAGCAGTGCGAGCATTATAAGAGTATACTGTACGCTGAGCCAGGTTCCAAATACTACATCACATATAGGCTTGTAGGAAACAACGTGGGTTGACTCAGAAATCTAAAACAGACTGAAAGAGTATTAATATTTTACAATAAGAGGAAACAAATACTGGAGTTATTAAACTTCTACTGATCAAGTGTCTCCAACAAAGTCACAGATTTCTATTTTCTTGTAATGCACTTTTTAAATAAATGTGTCCAGTCAATATTCATTGCCTGGGTTGCAGTTTGAACGCAGCCAGGTGTGCAGTTCGTGCTGCTCAACTCTGGCACCGATCAATGGATTCAGTTGCTTCAGCGAGCAAATCTTTGCTTCAAACCAAGAGAAGTGGCAGCAGAAACTCAGCTCTCATCAGCATCTGAGCATCACTGTGTGAGTCTTTAAACACTTAACCTCAGCTTCAATACAATGCACAGACTTATGTTACAAGATAGTGTGGTACATGATGCAAACTTTAATACAGTAACAATACTCGGCAACCACCGCAGGGCGATGACTGTGCACCAGTCTGATAGCTCAAAGTGTGTATATATGTATATAAAGTTTATGAATATTGCCTCTCCTCCTTCTCCCACACTTCACCTACCTTTGATTGGACAATTCTATTGTCTTTTGCCTACAAAACACGAAGCCTCTGTACCGGAGACAAATTCCTTGTATGATCAACGTACTTGGCGATTAAAGCTGATTCTGATATTGCTTTATATCTCTAACTAACCTCTGAGCTGTTTAAAGAACTATAACTCTGTTTTTTTCTTTTCCCATTCATATAAATAATCTATAATTCACATTACCGACGGCCATTTTGTTTATTTCAGTGCAGAATGAAACTTAACTTGCAGTGATTTGATACATAATTGAGCTACAGTAGGTGTTCGATCACAGTGGATATCATGGCTGCTTTTATGTCACTGCATAGCTGTGCAGTTAATTTGTGGCCTGAGGTGTTACTGTACATGCCAGCATGCTAGAATGTATCTGATGCTGCTGCCCCAGCAGATAGCAGTGAATGAAACTGTACCAGCCACAACAGACCAGTAAAAGATGTGCTGCACACACTGCAGGACCTGAGCCTCCTCCTGCTCTGTCCTTTCTCATAGACAGCCTCTGTCTACAATATCCTTTGCTGACTTGTTCTAATAACAAAACAATATTTTTCCATCTGATATACAGTGCCACTTGTAAAATACATAAAACAGAACTGTATGTGTATTGGATTTCTTATAGGAATTCATTTGGTACACAGGATCATGATACAGAGGATCAGGCTGCTGTTGCTTTGGCCATGAGAAGCACCACAAGCTGAGATGATAAAGCCTAAGCTACTGGGAGCCACCAGGGCCTGTTTGAGTTTCTTAGTAGTGCACACATGGAATATAGGTGTGTGCAAAAGCAGATGGAGTGAATTATAAACCATAAGAAGCCCATAATGCAATCAGAAAGAAGAGAACAGTTAGCCAGTTATTGACTTTTCTTACAGAATTATTAAAATATTGAGCAGAGACAGAAGAACAGAGTGAAACCCAGACAAACAACCAAACACCTAATGAATTACTTGTCTATTGGTTGTTTGACTGGACTGAAATCATTCTGGTGCTTCAGATTTTGTGGACACTGAGATTTCACTGTAAAGACTCTGGGTTCATCTTTATGGCTTTTGCTAAAGTCATATTCTGTAAAACTTTCCCACTGAAAGAAAAACTCTTTTTTCCTACAACATGAAACTAATTTTAACTAACAACTGTAAATCACACACATTGTATGATTCCTTGTATTTCAACCCAAGTTGAAAGTGACACACTGTTTACTGTTACCAACTAGATTTTTCAGACTTTCCTTGCCAAAAGGGTGTGATACGTCACGCCCGACCTGACTGACGACATTCAGTGAGACAAGCTGAAATAAATGTACACACTTGCTGTCACAGCCAGGGAATCAGAGAGTAGCTCAGTTTCCAGCTGCTATCATACTATACGATATACGATATACGATATGTTATATGCTATATGTTATCCTGCATCTTCTCTGACAAGCAGGGACAGTGCAACCAGCAGCATGTCAAAGAGAATCATATAAGGAATACTGCTCTCCAATGCTGAAACCTAACATACTGTTGTGTGCCATGCCACTGTGGCAGACCCCTTTGCTCAGGGTGCTTGAAGACTAAACCACAGACAGCCCAGTGGTCTATATAGGTTACACATGTGACAGAAATGTGTGGAGTGTAGCATAAAAGCGCTACAGGCAGAGCCACACATCAGTCTTTCAAATGTTTAACTGCCTGCCTGTGTCACGTGTCATGTTCAAGTGTCTGTTAGTCAGATGTGGGTGGGGGGGGGAGGTGGAGCTGCCGGAGGGCACGAGAGGGGACGAG